TCGGGGAAAGGGCAGCATCCATGGCTACTTAGAGTTTTTTGGGGTCTTTGGGATGGTGAAGGAGAAGAGAGAAAGAGAGGGGGCAGATGGAATTTTTAGGGTTTTTTCTTGTTTTTTTTGTCACATGTAAGATAGAGGGGTGTTGGGTATTTGGGTTATGGACCGGGTCGACCCGGTTTGAAATGGACCAGGTTATGGGGAAGGTTGGGTATTTTTTGGGCTTGTGGCTTGAATTTGAAGAATAGCCCAATTCCGATTTTCTTTATATTTTTGCTCTCTTTTCTTCTTTTATTTTTTCTAAAACTAAATTCTAAAAATCCTTAAATTATTATTAAGTTATAAAAGCGCATATTAACTCCCAATAACAATTAACGCATAATTAAGTAATAATTAAGCATAAAATTGTACATTTGGACGTTAAATGCTAAAAATGCAAAAAATGCCTATTTTTGTAATTTTCAATTTTTGTAAAACAAACTTAATTACTAACAATTGTAGAATTAAATCCTACATGCAAAATGCAATATATTTTTGTATTTTTTTTTTATTAATTTAACAAATAAACATGCACAGACAAATACAAATAATTATCCAAAAATGTCACAAAAATTCTCAAAATTGCACACCAAGGAAAATTATTTTATTTTGAATTTTTGGGAGTAATTCTTTCATAGGGCAAAAATCACGTGCTTACATATACCCTTTGAGAACAAGTCTTGTCTTAAATTTATCAATAGTGTCGTTATCTTTCATTTTCCTCTTAAAGATCCATTTAGAACCCAACGGTTTATTTTTAGGAGGAAGATCAACCAATTCCTATGTATGGTTGTTCAATATGGATTCTATTTTACTATTGACTGCCTCTTTCCAAAATAATGATTCCGAAGAAGATATAACTTCTTTAAATGTTCGAGACTCATTTTCCAATAAGAAAGTCACAAAATCTGGTCCAAATGAAGTAGACATTCTTTGACGTTTACTACGTCTTGGATCCTCCTGATTAATGTACTTTCTTTTGTTTCTTCCCGAGGTCGTTTAGATCCTTCACCAATCGACTCACATTGCTTTTTATACAGATATATATTTTCAAAGAACTAAACATTATCTGATTCTATAATAGTATTATTATGAATGTCGGGATTTTCTAACTTATGAACCAGAAATTGATATGCTTTACTATTGATCGCATATCCTTGAAAACACAATCAACGATTTTCGATCCTATTTTCACCCTTTTGGGTTTAGTAACTTGCACTTTTGCCAAACACTCCCACACTTTAAAATAATTCAAGTTAGACTTCCTTCCTTTTTATTTTTCATATGGAATGGATTGTGTTTTGCTATGGGGTACTCGATTTAATATTCGGTTAGCCGTAAGAACGGCTTCCCCCCACAAGTTCTGTGGCAAACCAGAACTTATCAGTAATGCGTTCATCATCTCCTTTAATGAACGATTCTTTCTTTTCGCAATCCCATTGGATTGGGGCGTGTAAGGGGCTGTTGTTTGATAAATAATTCCATATTATAAACATATTTTTTCAAAAGGAGATTCATATTCACCACCCCTATCACTTCTTATCATTTTGATTTTCTTGTTAAGTTGCATTTTAACTTCATTTTTGTATTGCTCGAATGCGTCTATTGCTTCATCTTTACTATTAAGTAAGTAAACATAACAATATCGAGTACTATCGTCAATAAAAGTTATGAAATAATTCTTTCCACCGCGAGATGGTATTGACTTCATGTCGCAAATATATGTGTGAATTAAGTCTAAAGGATTTGAATTCCTTTCAACTGACTTATAAGGATGTTTAATATACTTAGATTCCACACATATTTGACATTTTGATTTGTCGCATTCAAACTTAGGCAATACTTCCAAGTTAATCATTTTTCGCAAGGTTTTATAATTGACATGACCCAAACGTATATGCCATAATTCATTTGACTCAATTAAGTAAGATGAAGCTGAAATTTTATTATTATTCTCAACAACCATTACATTCAGCTTGAAAAAGCCCTCAGTAAGGTAACCTTTTTCTATAAATATTTCATTATTACTTATTACAACCTTATCAGATACAAAAACACACTTAAAACTGTTCTTAACAAGAAGTCCAGCAAAGACTAAATTCTTCCTAATCTCGGGAACATGAAGGATGTTGTTCAAAGTCATCACCTTGCCAGAAGTCATCTTTAGAAAGATCTTCCCACATCCTTCAATCTTGGCGGTTGCAGCATTTCCCATAGAAAGAGTCTCTTCGGGTCTAACAATAGCATATGTTACAAAGGCTTCCCTAACAACACAAACATGGCGAGTGGATCCACCACTCCTTAGGATTTCCCACCAGGTTGCATTCATAAAGCATGGCACACAGGTCATCAACATCTTCATGCTTTTCAATCATGTTTGCTTGACCGTTCTTCTTGTCTTTCTTTGGAGAATGGTACTTCGTAGATTTATGCCCAGCTTTCCCACAATTGTAGCAATTTCCGTTGAACCGCTTTTTGCTTGGGTTGCTTTTCGATCCAGAAGCCTGCTTCCTTTTTCTCTTATTTTAAGAAGTGTCCTCAACAATGTTTGCTCCCATTATTGTTGAGTTTCCATGGCCTCTCTTTTCAGCAACTTTGTTGTCCTCTTCGATTCTCAACCGAACAATAAAATCTTCAAAGACATCTCCTTGTTTTTGTGTTTCAAGTAGTTTTTGAAGTTTTTCCACATAGGAGGCAACTTCCCAATCATCTTTGTTACTTGGAATGCTTCATTGATGACAAGACCTTCAATCAAAATTCTGTTAGTAAAAATACTAAAATTACTACTTTCAACATCAATATTAATTCGATTTATACCTTCAGCAAGGAGATTGGGAATAATCACTTGCAATTACTGGACTTAGGTAATAACAGACTTGCTATCTACCATTTTGTAGTCCAAAAACTTAGCGGCAATGAATTTCTTCAACCCGACATCTTCAGTCTGGTATTTCTTTTCAAGCACAACCCACAATTCTTTTAACGTCTCTACGCCACTGTAGATGTTATACAGATCTTCCTCCAGTCCGCTAAGAATATAATTCTTGCACAGAAAATCAGAATGCTTCCATGTCTCAATCACAAGAAAGTGTTCATTCTCTGGAGTTTTATCGGGCAGAACATGAACATCTTCCTTAATGAACTTCTGCAGACTTAAAGTAGTCAAGTAAAAGAACATCTTCTGCTACCACCGCTTGAAATCTAACCCGGAAAATTTTTCGAGTTTCTCCGCCGGTGTTCGGCTTGTCGACGCATTGGCAGTCACAATCGGAACAACTTGGTTTCCATTATCATTAGTCATTTCTGTAAAATAATGGCAGAAACAAACGTTAAAATCACGTAGATTTTAATCTCCAATGGAGTAGAAAACCACAAAGATTTTAATTTCCAGAACAGTAAATATATAACACAAATACAAATACAAAATTAAATTCCTTAAGCTTGTTAATAAACTGTATTTGTAAAATAATTCTAGAGAAAATAAAATAACATAAACAGAAATATAAACGAAAAAGAAGTTAATTCAAGCCCATTGAATTTATAGTGTTTTCTTAAGGAATTTAATCCCCTCCTAGTACCTAAGGTTATGGATTATTTCCTCCCAGGATAGAACGAATTACACATAGGTGTAGTGGTACTTCAAACCCCAGTGTTTTAGCGAACAAAAAAATCGGTAGCAAATCACACTTATTGTTGCTTTCTTTGAAGTTAAACGTATGCAGAAGGAAGGAGCAGAACTCAGAAAATCGTATGAAAATTCTGAGAGAATAGACTTGTATTTATAGCCAATATTGAGCTGAAAGCTGAAGAGGTGCAACTCTTCAGAATGGTTGTTTATGCAAAACGCCCATAGCATAAATGCCATAACATAAATGGCTAATTTATGCAATAATAAATCGGGAATTGAAGAGGAAAGTTTAATTTTCAGTTACACAACTGAAAAACTGAAAATGGTTCCGTTGGATTTTAATATTAATATTAATATTCTGTTATTAAAACGAATATTTAATAACATTTTTGTTAATATTTACTATTAACAAATAAATTTGGTCCAAAAAATTAATCAATCAACCATTTGACCAAATCCGAATCCGAAGCCGAAAACGACAGCGCGAGACTTGCCTTCTTCTCAACTCTTTAAGAGCTAGAAGAAGAGCAATTGCTTATATACCCATCAAAAACCTCTTCCTCTTCCAATACGGGACAATGTCCCTTTTACAAGGAGAGAATCTCAAATGAAACTCAAATATTTCATTTTTTCTCCATTTCCCATTCACCTTATTTTAAGCATTAATATACTTAAAAAAAAACCAACAACCCCAAAAATGGGTATATATGCAAATGCTCTAAGAGCATAGACGGATCTAGGATTTCTAGTACATGAGTGTACTACTAAAAAAAGAGAAAAAATATATTAAATGAGAATTGATCTCTCATCCTTTAGGTAAATAACTCAACCTTCGACCAAGTGCACCATTCAACCTTCTTGGAGCATGAATTCCAACAGTTAATAACTTAATATTATACTAATTTCAAATATGTACATATCTAATTTTACGGAAAGACCATGGATTCACGTACCCCACAATTCCCTCTATAAATCCACACTTGCCCAAGAGAGTTAGAGATAGATCCAGAATTTAAAATTTATGGGTTCAATATTTAAGCCTTTTAATATTGTACATATTATATTTTTAAATTTATGAGTTCAAGCATACTATTTTTTTTACAGTTTTAATGAATTTTTACTCATAAATATATGTTTCGCGTAGAAACTTATGGGTTCAGATGAACATTCTCTTTACGCATTCTATTATTAATCAATGCTAGGATTCTACTTATAATGATTGTATTAAAAACTTGGTGAGTTGAAAAATTAATTAAAAATGATTGCCGTCATTGGTATGACTGAGAACTATGTCGCAGATAATATATTTTTTCATGGTTTGAAATACCGTTGCTTAATCTAACGGTCCATAATACAAAATCATGCCATCTCTCTCCAGTTCTCCTATTTCCCCTCCCCGCCATTTCTTCCCTCCGAGAAATCACCATTCTCCTTCTTCCACTTTCCTTTCCCCATATCCAAACCCTAGCTTTCTCTCCATTTTCATCAACCAAAATTTACCATATCTCACCTGAAAAATCCATCTATTGTGATGGTCTTTGATGAAAATGTGCAGACAAAAAGGCAAAAATACAAAAATGCCTTGCTTACCAATTTTTTGCTTTGCATCATCTCGACGAATCACATTGCGACAGCACAGCAGACCGGTAACTCCGGGTCGGCTCAGCTCTTGACCCAGGTCCTTTATAGCAGTTTCAGCAATTTCACCTCTTTATTTGACCCTGGCGTTACCAAGGAATTGGGGTTTTGCATCGAAGATGTGTAAGTCATTTTCTATAATATTTCTCTTCATGCATTTTTTTTTGTAAAGAATCTCTTACACTATTAGGTCGCGTTTAACTATTAGGGGCTATAGTAGGCAATATGTTCTATTTTTAAGAATACAAATCCCACTTCTTATGGAGGCTCATTCCTTAGGGATATCCTTTGGGTTAACAAATTTCGTTATACTAACAGTATATATAACTTAAACTATTTTTTTAATTTGTGCCAATTCAATGTATTGTGAAACTGTTTAGATTAGGAAGTAGGAACTGCAAGCGTATTAGTTCAATTAATGAGCATGGCTGTAGTAGACTTAATTTAGGTGTATTGTTCATTAGGAGTCTTTTAATCTAGTTGTTATAATTTGTTATGTTACTTGAATATGTAGATAACTTTTAGTTTTGGTAAACCTAAGTTATTGAATATTGGATTGTGACGGGTTTAAATAGAGTGACATGTATAGTGAAGATTCTCATAGTCAAACATAACTGCATCGAACGGTGTGGTCTAGTGGTCAATGAAGTGGGAGGAGAACGGTTCAAATCCTAGCTAGACAAAAAATATTGGGTGATTTCTTCTCATCTATTCAAGCCTTGGTTGATAGGAGGTAGCAGGTGCCTGGGGAATAGTTACGGACAACACTGTCATAAAAAAAGGTCAACCTAAATTGATTAGGATTTGATGCATATGATACGATGAACATAGTGTGGACTCTCAAAGCCCTATTCTTACTGGTACCGTTGAACCCATAATAACCCCTACCGTACTATAGACTGTAAATCTTGGTGTTCGTGCTCTTACTATCTTACTAGTACTTTAACTTAAATTGTGTCATAATAGAATATATGTATCGGAAAACGTCTTTTGTGTTGCTTTAGAAAAAGGCACATTCTTCAATTCCTATGTCATTAAGTCAATTTTCGAAAGCTTTTCCTAAATCGTATTTCACTTTGGTTGTTACGTGTTTGGCTTGACAATTCATCTATAGAACTTTGAAAGCAGCTAATTTTCAGTTGATGAATTCTGATCGTGTTGTAGGGATGCTGAGTGGAACGCGGCTTTTAATTTTACAGACAACACAGATTTTTTGACAGCATGTGTTAGACAGACAAAAGGTACTAATTTACTGGATAAGATTCTCTGAGATTGTATCTTTTCTAGTTTGAAGCCTGCTGGTCTAGTTCATGATATTCTATAAGATTTGCATCAGTTAAACTTCAGAAACTTGTGAAAAGATGTAATATGTGGGCTTACGTTTTCAGATAAGCTAATAATATGAGTTCCTTGGGTTGGTAAACATTTGAATAGCAAGTTCATTTTTGTGGTGATCAATAGTAATTACACAAGTACAGCATTTAATATTTAGTTGCTTCTATTTCCAATGGCATGGATTGTTCTATATTGTCTTTATTTTCATACTCACAATGTCTTTGTTGGTCCAATAGGTGATGTAATAAAGCGGTTGTGTACAGCAGCAGAGGTAAAGTTCTATTCTCAACTTTTAACGCAAGGCGCTGGAAGAGGAAACCTGAAACCTAACAAGAATTGTAATCTGGTATCATGGGCTTCTGGATGTGAGCCAGGATGGGCATGTAGTGTTGGAAAAGACATGCAGGTTGACCTTAAAAATTCAAAGGAAATGCCACCTAGAATTCTTGATTGTCAACCTTGTTGTGAAGGTTTCTTCTGTCCTCGTGGTCTCACCTGCATGATACGTAAGTATCTACTAGTATATTAGCTTATAGTCATTTAAACCTGGTTCGCTATCCGAAGTAGATACGAAATCTCAATCAATTTAGACCAAACAACATTTCAGAGTTTCTTAATATCAAGACATGGTGTTTTCAAGCATTTCAGAATTGCTTAATACCAAGACATACTGTTTTCTTTTTATTTTATTTTATTCTGAGGTGATTTCTACACTTTTTTGTGAAGTGATGAATTTGCTTCTCTAATAAACAATCACAAATTTATGTTTGTTTTCATTTTCCTATTTTCCGGTTGAAGCCTGCCCATTAGGCGCGTATTGTCCTCTTTCAAAACTCAATAATGATACTGGTGCATGTGACCCGTAAGTTTCGTACATCTTTTGGAGAACTTAATTATTCTTACTTGACCAGAATTTTTTGCATCCTTCAACTGATATTGCCTGCCTCAACATATGAAGGTATCGTTATCAACCTCCTCCGGGACAGTCAAATCATAGTTGTGGTGGAGCAGATGTCTGGGGTGATTTTGTGAGTACTACTGAACTATTTTGTTCAGCGGGATTTTACTGTCCAACTACTACCGAGAAGATTCCTTGCACTAAAGGGTATTTATATTTATCCCAAAACCGGAGAACATGTATCTTAGCGTGCTTTCTTTTTTTCTCCTGCTGGTTTAGGCAGCAAATAGCAAAATGCTACTTCTGTTTAACTTGGTGGATACTTTTGCTCATATTAGAAGCTCATGTTAATCCATTCACTTATCATGCTGTCTGTTTATGCTTTTTCCAGCCATTACTGTAGAGCTGGTTCTACATCTCAATCAAGTAAGTCCTCATCTTATGTGACAGTCTGTTTTTTCTCTGTACTGAGTTCTGCGTTGCTTCATTTCTTATTCTTGACTTTTCAACAAAATATAAATCATGGATTAACTTTGATCCTTCCAGATGTATAGTACTAGTAAAATTTCCTGTTTGGTTCTGCTGTCTCACTTGTACCATACATCTAAAGCAAAATAAAGGAAAAAGAAAGACAATTATCTTCAAAGTGAAATACAAAAAAGAATACTAGGACGCAAATTTGGCATGCTGTCATATCCAATATCTTCTTTGCTTAGGCTACCAGTACTGTTAAAATATATTAGATGGATATCCAATAACTACTACTAGAAATGAGCAGGACGTATCAAGATATGAGCATATTGGACATCCACCTTACCAAGATTGTTATTTTGTTGGTGGGGTGTGCCTCACATTCTTCTCTACTAAGAGATAGATTTCTTTGAACTCGTTTTGCTGAGATGAGACATCATGTAGTTGTCATGTTACAGAGTATGTGTTACTTGTAACTTGAAGATAATCTCACAAGATGAGAAGTTATATTAAGTAAGAACTCATTGCATGTACTTCTCAATTTCTGTTTGTGGAAATATTTTTTGGTCTGAACACTTCCATCATCATTATTATCGACATGCAGGCTGCTATAAATTAGCTATTTGTGAATCACAGACAGCAAATCAAAATATCACAGCTTATGGTATTATGTTTTTTGTAAGTCATCTCCTCACTCCTAGGCTGTAGAAATATTAATGATCTTTGTAGGTTTCTACTTTTGAAATAATGCTCTTGGGTTGTTAGCTAGTATGGCCATGCATGTCTTAATTTTTTAGGCTTGTAGTGGGAGAAGGAAAGTGAGAAATGCATGCCAAAAAGAACAGAATAGAACCAGCAAAAGAAAGATCTGCCTTCAGCTAATGCTCGCTATTGCCTTACCAAAGGAGGAGGAAATGGGAGGGATTCGTCTTGACGTAGCTTCTACCCCTCTTTTCTTAATGATAGTGGAGTAATGGCTGCATAAATAATGCAGCTGAACCTAAAAGGACAGATCGCACAAGATATAACATCTTACTTTTCCTTCTCTTCGGATTTCATCTGTAACAAGTCACAACTCACAACTAACCAAAAAGCTTCTCTGATAACTTTCTTCTTCTTCTTCTCATTTCAAGTTTTCTGATTTAATTAACTTCATTTCTCGGAGTTCCCAATGGATACATTAGAAGGAACAAATGCTTTTGGTTCCTTGGTAATTCCTAAGGAAGTCATAATTTTTTATCTCTGAAGAGTCTGTACATCACTAATTATCAAGAATGAACGTCAAATTGATATTCATGTTTCATTGTAATAATCAGATCCATGGGCATTTGCTGAAACACGTGTATGGTTTCAATGGATATCTGTTAGAGATTCAAAATGTGAAAGTTCTTTGAATATGTCAATTGAACTATGACATGTTCTTAGGTAATCAGTTTCCAAGTCTCCTTTAGTCTGAAAAGACTTCCATCTGTCCTGAGTTTTTTGTGTTTCAGAGGCGTTGAATATCTAATAGATATGACTTCTGTAAACTAGTCATGCTTCAGCCTCGAACATGCATGTTTTATTACCTAGTTGGGATAAGATTTAGATTTCACACAGGTTGCGACATGTAACTGGCCTCTCCATTTCTAATAGGGTGCAATCACACTTATACTTCTCATTATATACAACTGTTCTGGCCAAGTGCTGAGCAGCAGAGAGAAAAAACAAGCAAAGTCCAGGGAACGTGCAGCAAAAAGTGCAAGGGAGACCGTACAAGCACGTGAGAAATGGAAATCTGCTAAAGAGATTGCTCGCAAGCATGCAACTGGTCTACAATCTCAATTGTCAAGGACATTCTCCCGAAAAAAATTTGTAAGTCAACAGGATCCGCATAAGGCGCCCAGTCATGCTAGGTCTCGTTCAGAAGCTGCCTTACCCCCATTGCCCTTAGGTATGTCTCATGCCAAAGCTAAAAAGCAAACCAACCTCACAAAGATGGTTCAAGAGCTTGAAGAAAATCCTGATAGTCATGACGGTTTCAATATTGATATTGGGGACAAAAATATGAAAACACCTGAGCAAGTTGGGGACAAAAATATGAAAAAGCCCAAGGCTAAACAGTTGCATACCAAGAGTCAAATCTTTAAATATGCATATGGTCAAATTGAAAAAGAAAAAGCCCTGCAGGAGCAGAATAAGAATTTGACCTTTTCTGGTGTAATCTCAATGGCAAGTGAGATTGAGATAAGAACTAGACCTCCCATTGAGGTGTGTTTCAAAGATTTGACACTTACTTTGAAGGGGAAAAACAAGCATTTATTGAGGTGCGTATCAGGGAAATTATCACCTGGCCGTGTTTCTGCTGTTATGGGTCCATCTGGTGCTGGAAAGACAACGTTTCTGTCTGCATTGACTGGTAAGGCTGCTGGGTGTACCACGACTGGTGTGATTCTCATAAATGGGAAGCCCGACCCGATGCAGTCATACAAGAAAATTATTGGCTTTGTACCTCAAGATGACATAGTACACGGAAATTTAACGGTGGAGGAGAATCTTTGGTTTAGTGCTCGGTGCAGGTATGCTGTCATACTTCTGTTAGTCTGAAGCTATGCATTCACATAACATTTCAAAGTATTCTTGTGAGAAATCTATGCCCCTTCTATTGTTATTAAACACAAATTAGGCAGAGATATGACCAGCTTATATTATCCAAAAGGAAGTTAGTTTTGCTCTACTGCTTTTACTTGTTAGCATTGCTGTTTTTGATACTATATTCATCTTTCGCTTGACTGCTCTTCTTTATTGAATCACTCGTCCAGATTGGCAGCTGATTTGCCTAAACCAGAAAAGGTTTTAGTTGTTGAAAGAGTCATAGAGTCCTTGGGATTGCAACCCGTGAGAGATTCTCTTGTGGGGACGGTGGAGAAGCGAGGCATCTCTGGGGGTCAAAGGAAGAGAGTCAATGTTGGGCTGGAAATGGTTATGGAACCTTCTTTGTTAATCTTAGATGAACCCACTTCTGGTTTGGATAGCTCTTCATCTCAATTATTGCTTAGAGCACTCCGTCGTGAAGCTCTTGAAGGAGTGAATATATGCATGGTGGTGCACCAACCAAGGTGATGTTGTGGACGATAGCCTCTTTTCTTTGGTCTTACTCTGTTTCTTCTTCCATCTGCATTCCCTGGTGGTTATCATATTGACTTTTATCTGTTGCAGTATCTTTTTGTTTATCCTCGCAATCGTTAAACGAATTGCAATCATAAAACATGTGGAATTATAAATATATAAATTTAAGTAGTTTTATCCTCCAGCGTAATGATGGCCTTTCAAATTACTTTATTTTTGAACTACAGTGATGAAAGCCAAATAAAGAGCTTGATGTTCTTATGGACTAATTGGACTAACATGTAGCTAGTGAGCTGCAACTAGTGGATTTTGGGGAATTCTACTTTCAGTGAGTGGGATCTGTCTTCTTAAATGTGTAACTACACGCCGAAACAGTCACTCAAGCCTGTGGAAAATGTCTTTTTGATAAGCAAGCCTCTGAAAAAATGTTAATCATCCTAAAGGTCATGAATGTTTTTTGTGCTCCACCATTCTTCTGGAGAGGATCTTTCAGAAGAAAGGATTGTACCAAAAATTAGCTAAACCAAACCGAGATGCAAGAAAAAATGCCACAACTTGGATGGTTTGACAATGTTTCATTTTGGTTCTATGTAATAAATATTTAAAAAAAAAAGATATCTTTGCTAACCGGACCTTACCATGGACACCTTATCTCAGTAATCACTTCTTCTTTTGCAGCTATACTTTGTTCAGGATGTTTGACGATTTGATACTTCTAGCCAAGGGTGGCCTTACAGTATATCATGGACCAGTGAAAACAGTTGAAGAGTACTTTGCAGGCATTGGAATAACTGTACCTGATCGTGTTAACCCTCCTGATCACTTCATTGATATTTTAGAAGGAATTGTTAAACTTCCGAACACAGCAGTGAACTATAAAGATCTTCCTCTCAGATGGATGCTTCATAATGGTTACCCCGTACCACCAGACATGCTAGATTCTTCTGGTTCAAGAGCATCTTCGGTTGGAGAAAATTCAGCTGATGGAGCAAGTCCTGCAACTGCTACCTCCGATCAATCTTTTACTGGAGACCTGTGGTCAGAGGTCAAATCCAATGTTGAACAAAAGAAAGACCGCATGCGATACAACTTTTTGGCATGGAAGGACTTGTCCAATCGGAGAACCCCTGGTGTATTGTTCCAATATAAGTATTTCCTTGGAAGGTAATGATAAATTTCTCTCCTTTTCAGTCGTATACCTTCTAATTACTGTGTGCTTGTGTTTGATTATCTTGTGCTTGCTGTCCTATATTCAAATACGTGTACAGTTCTTTTGTTTTGAGTTTGCATTTGTTTTGACATTGGCATCTATGATACTGCATACTGTCAGAGTCGGCAAGCAGCGATTGCGAGAAGCCAGGATGCAAGCAGTTGATTTTCTTATTCTATTGCTTGCTGGAATCTGTTTGGGAACACTTGCTGAAGTGAGTGATGAAACCTTCGGAACTATGGGGTACCTTTACACCGTCATTGCAGTTCGTAAGTTCAAAACCTTGGAACAGTGTATATACTTAAGTTTTTTCATCTTTATTAAGGAGAATTAATGACTTAAAGACAGTTGATTATTTTTCATTTGCAAACTTGGGACACTCAATTTTAAAATCATATTTCTAAGATTAGCATACTGTGCATGTGTAGTGTAAAACTTTCTGCCATGAACTGACAAAGTGTTTTAAAGTTAAATAAAGAAACTTTATTTAACCTCCTTACTGTTAGTAACCATTCCTTATTGCTTACCTGAAGTAAGAAATAATAAATCTCAAATAAACAAAGCATCTCAGAAAAGGAGATGGTACAACGGATTGCAGAAGTTAGAGAGTAAAAGAGAAGTTACAACATTTTTCACACCCAGCCCAGAAATTCTCTTGGAAATGTAGGTTTAAAGTTTAGACCGAGAATTTGAATCATGGATTTGGCATGGTGAATTTTACCTTGAAACAGTGGCATTTACTTTATAGAAAAATGTCACGTGTCAGAAAATATGGATTTTGATACCTTATCGTTTGATGGTTTTTATATGAAAATTTTGTTATTGGCAGTTCTCATATATCTTCATTAACTTTTTACTTTCCCTTAGTTCTAATCTTCCTAAATTTTTTTCCAGCTCTTCTCACCAAGATTTCAGCTTTGAGATCATTTTCTCTAGATAAATTACACTACTGGAGAGAGAGTGCATGTGGCATGAGCAGTTTGGCATACTTTATGGCTAAGGATACCATTGACCATATCAGCACAATTATAAAGCCTGCAGTTTATCTATCAATGTTCTACTTCTTCAATAATCCAAGATCTTCCATTTTGGATAATTATATCGTCTTGCTTTGTGTTGTATATTGTGTTACTGGGATAGCGTATGCACTTGCCATCTACTTCAACCCTGGTCAAGCTCAACTGGTGTGTACTTGGAACTTTGATCATGAAATACATTTCATCTCTATGCCATTATCCTCTATCTCCATCATTCTTTACTAACAAGCTAATTTGTCTTTCAGTTGTCGGTGTTGCTACCAGTTGTTTTAACTCTCGTAGCTAGACAGGACAGTAGCTCAATAATGGGGAAAATAGGAGATTATTGCTATACAAAGTGGGCCATGGAAGCATTTATAATTGCAAATGCAAAGAGGTTTGTTGTATCCTTCTCCCATAATCCCATTATATCTGAATTCTTCTTGCATTTTGGCTACCTTACTAACTAATACTTGCTCAAAGTTGGAGTATTATTAGTAAATCATTAGCCATCAGCTGTTGAATATCAAATGCACCTGATATCAGGCGTTTAACAAGTCTCCACATGTTGATCTATTCATTCCCGGGTAGATTTTAATTTCTTTTTTTTTTCCTCTTGATTTTTGTTTTCGCGGATTTTAGGTACTCTGGAGTGTGGCTGATCACAAGATGTGGTGCACTAAAGCAAAAGGGCTATGCACTTGATCATTGGTATCCTTCCTTAATATCACTCCTGCTTCTTGGTGTTATCAGTCGCTGCGTAGCATTTGTCCTTTTGGTAACTTTCCAGAAAAAATAAGTCTTGTGTTGTTGCTCTCTTGCTTCATCGGTTGGCATACTATTAGCACAAACGAGAATGCCAGCTTACAGGCTCACCACCATGCCGAAAAATGTTGGGAAGCCTCTTCAAAGTTGGGTCCCTTGTGAAAATTATTGCACATAACCTAGATATGATTCTTGCCAAAAGTGTAATTTACTCAAAACAAACTGTATATGGCAGCAAGAGTCTATCAAAAGGTTAGATGTTATCATTCTTTGTTTGGCCAAAAAAAAAAGTGTAACATATGTGCTAGTAGTAGTTTCTGTTGGAGATTGATGCTACCTGCTTCCTGGGCCTCATGATGTAGCTATAATCATCAAGAGAGATAACCGAGAATGTCGTCTCGTCTTTGTGAAGTTGTCAAGGATATGACTGAGAATACACTTCAGAATTTGAGGGTGTACCCAAAAGTTGATGTAGATCAAGATACAAAACATCAAATTATAGAAATGGCAACTGCAGCCAAATGTCATAATGCCAACTTGTTGACAGCATAAATTCAGTTTTGAGTAGGCAGTATATTTCCAACTTGTTGAAC